TGCATGGGTCCACAGGAACCCTATTAGTGGTCCTGCTGTCCTGGGTGCAACCAAGGCCCTCTTCTGCCCTGCTGCCTCCTAGTTACTCCATCTGAAGGGCATAGCTGCAGCTTCTGCCGGCTCCTGCTCCATGCACTCAGCACCTCTAGCATTAGAGCAGCCATGGCCCGAAATGCTCACAGCAGTTTTTTCTTTCTCTCATCGTGGTTTCTCCTGCCTTCATGAACTCTGTTGGTCTCTCCTCCTCTTCCCCTGAGCTCCAGTGGCCCCAGCTTGGCTGATGTTACATTTTTTATAGTTGTAAATTTGTTGATTTGTGAGAGAGAGTGATGCTAGGGACCATCTGTTCTGCCATCTTGACTGGAACCTAGATCTGTTTTTAAAACTCCACTGGAAAAATAAATAAGTAAATAACTGTTGCAGAAAGTGAGGAAAACAAGGTGAAGTTTAAAAGAGGAAGTTGGAACTGAATCTATTCATCCCAACTTCCCTAAGCAATCTGCTCTTGCCCCTATATTCTTGATTAAACACACTCCTTTTTCATAGTAATTTAGATTTCAAAATTGATTCCTGCTATGATTTTAATGGTAATACTTTGAATTTCTCTCTTCCAAAGAGAATTAAGCATTAGAGGACTACTAAGAGTATTTGCTTGTGTATTCCACCTAGATTAGCCAAGCTGTCAGGAGGAGTTGGGACAATTGCTTCTAAGGGGATAATGTCTTCCCTGAATGTGACAAGCTTTGCTCATATCTGCTCTATTTTATTTAAAGATTTGTGGGGTGGGGGCGGAGGGTTATATAATGAACTAGTAATTAATTTTATTTTTAGTTTTAGTTTTAAAAGATGACCAGTAAGGGGATCTTAACCCTTGACTTGGTGTTGTCAGCACCACACTCTCCTAAGTGAGCTAACCAACCATCCCTATATAGGGATCCGAACCCATGACCTTGGTGTAACCAGTACCACACTCTCCCAAGTGAGCTATGGGCTGGCCCTAGAACTAGTAATTTAAAATGCTAAAACAAGCATGGCTATATTTCAGATTAAATATTTGTATAAAAATTTCAAGATAAAACATGGGGGTTATACATTTACTTTCAACTGAGTAGTGTGCCTGGGTAAAAAGATTCACATACAATGATGCATGAAAGTGAAAGAAGCCGTTCTTCTATGTGGTCCTACTTCTGATCAGGAATATTCTAAAGTATAACAAAAGCCAAAAGGATTAGCTATGGTGTATCTATATCTATGTGCTCTATGTTTTATCTACATGAGTACCATGTGTTCACAGTATGGTTTTTTCATCCTAACACATATTCGAAAATATTCTATAAAGACTCAAAACATCTATACAGTATATGGATTATTCTAATATCTAAAAATAAAATTGAACTTCACTTAGGACAAGATAATCTGTAATATTAAAGGCAATCATTTAAGAAAACTAAAAATGAGTGCTTCAGAAATGTGCTACTGGCATTCTATTTAAGAAGTCCTCTCAGTCAGTCCTCCCAGTCACGATTGGACCCTCTAATTCCAACCATATCCCCAGGATGGTTTGGAAAATAGTTATACCTGTAATGCTTATGAAGTAATGGCTCACCTGGTCCAGTCACAGAGAAGTGCTCCAACAGCATACAGTTCAATCATGAAACCTCATTTCAAAACGACATGAACTGTGTTTCTCAAACACTGTGCAGTGAGGTATGGGGATCTTGGAAGTAGATTTCTTTAAATCTCTTTTTTCCTTTCTCCCATTCAATTCCTTCAGCTGCCTCTCTGACCCCCAACTCTCCCTAGAGAACCAGCCCCCTCCCAGGCCTGGTCCTTTACATTTTTGGTCCTCCACCATGCTCCAATGCCCCTAAGACACACTTGCAGGGCAGAACCCTCCCTGGAGTGTGAAGTGAAAGAGACTGAGGGACCTACACCAACGCAATGGGAGCAGGGGAAAGCCTGGGATTACTCAGACACTAATAATACTTCCTGTACTACACCCTGTTGCACTGAACACTACCACAATTGTGTATCCATTATTACCATGGCCGTTGTTGTTATTTCCTAGTTTTATGACCTTGGGCATTCCTATGCTTCTATTTCTTCTCTGAACAATTAGGAATAATTGAATCCATATGGGAGGGTCAAAGTGAGGTTTATAGGGGTTGATACATGGGAAGCATTGGAAGAGAGCATACTAATTAGGAAGCATGATTATCGTCTCTTGTTTTTGCCTACAGGTAAAAATACCTTGGACCAGTTGTTCCTATGTGTAGGTTTGGAGCGGGAGTCTGGTGGGGGAGGCCAGCTGGCAAATGCCTCACAGGACAGACCTCTAACTAATCCCCCTGGTTTACACCCTCCTCCTTTCCCATTCCTACTCTCTTTCCTGCCAACTCCAAGCTTGGCACCTCTTTGGCACTTAAGAAGCACAGCTGTTACTTCCCAGACGTCTGTTCAGGGCAGCAGGCAGCCTTTCTAGGCTATTGAGAATGTCACTCAGATTTCATCTTCCAGAAATTTAATAAAATCTCTGGTCAACTACTGGATCTCTCTCGTTAGGGATTTATTCCCTTTGATACTTGTTTACTAGCCTACACTTTTTTTCTAGAATGGTCAAAAGAGATGTATTTAATAGAGTCCACTCCAACATCTTGAATCAGAAGTTCCCTGGAATACAAAATAAAGTCTTTCTTCTAAGCTTTAGTGTTACTTATAATCATTATAATCATGATAGAGTCTATATTCACTTACTTAGCAGTTTCTCCAATTGAGGAATATTCCTTCATTTTTATTCAAATAAAAAATTCCATCACAGTATTAAGATGATTGTAATTGTTGTCTTTAATTATAAAAAGCAATTTGAAAAAAAGCACTGTACCTTTCTTCCATTTCCCAAGAATATTTGAGCAAATTAGCAAAGGACCAGATATACAAACACACTTAATCAGAGAATTTTGAAGGAGAAGGGATCATTTGCAATAATTTTACAGATGAGAATATTGATGCCAGTGGGGAATGACCTGCCCAAGCCTGCACAGCTAGCAAGAGCCAAAGTTGGGATGAGACTCAAATATGTGCTTTCAGGTGTGCCTAGAAAAACAAAACCAGTCCATTCAGCATTCATATTTACTATATTGCTAGGAATGTCTTTCAGTGGGAGTTTGTAGCAAAAATCAACCTCACTGAGTTATTATGACTATATTCTTCCATTGTTTTCATTTCCTTAAATGGAAATGAAAGCCTATTGAACTTTATCATCAAGTCTGTGGTATATGGTTCTGAAGCTAAAAGTAATTATACTCTGCAGCTACATTGTATGACAACTGAAAGATCTTGACATATTACTTCTTTGTTACATTCAGCAGTAAGTGGCACTTAGCGTATCATGCTACTTCTAATGTGAGCATGAGATAATTGTTTAGGAACCCAGAACTGCTTATTTAAAGGGTGGGGACTCAATATAATTACAGAGCCAAAAACCACCTCAGCTTTACCATGGGAAATTTCATGCAATGCATCGTAGATCTTCACGTGGCTTCTCAAATTCATTACTTTCCAGAATTCTCTGGAAGTTTCCTTCTGTTTATGACAAAGTTATCTGCCATGGTGAATCTGAACCAACAAGGAATGGAGGATCTCTACACTTGAATAAGGTTGAAGAAGCAGAACCTTTTGGCCAAAGTAATGTCACTTAGTGTATCTTCATCCTACATGTCTCAGGTTGAAATGCTTCTGCTATGACAGCTCATTGGTCCCAGGAAGTTGTATTTTTCCTAAGTGTGCAGCATTAAGATAACGTGTTATTGACTGATGAGGGGAAGAAGAAAGGTAGACAGGAAAAAATTCAAAGGCAAAAGAACACATTTTTAGAGAAGTTTATAATGAGTCGTTTTCGTGTATTTATTTGGAGACCATGGTTCTTAATTTCCAGATATCCATTATCTCCTTGAATTAGCTATTATTTTAAAAGATGGTATTTTTTTTTTCTTTTTGTCTTTTTTATTTTTTGTGACTGGCAACGGATCGCAACCCTCAGTGTCACGCCCGTACCGGACCGGGACCGGCAACGGGATCGCAACCCTCGGTGTTGCGCCCGCACCTCGCTCAGCCAGTGAGCGGCCGGTCTGTATGTGGGATCCGAACCCTTGGCAGGAGCACCACCGCACTCCCAAGCGGCGCACCGTAGCAGTGCGCCACCGGGCCGGCCTAAAAGACGGTATTTTTAACATTGTTAATTACCACATCAAATGCTCTCCTAGTCAGTTTTTTGTTGTTTTTTTTTAATTTTGGTATAAACACCCAGACAACTACATTCCTCTAAATTTATGATGAGAAATATTCTCATCATAAAAAACAAACAAAAAAAGCATATGAAGAACACTGAAGAAAAATTCACTGCCAAGGACCAACTGGCCAACATAAGCACAAAGGAGAAATATCTCCATTCTACCACCCCGCTACTCCACAACCCTTCTCCACTTTTACATACTCCATGATAGGATTAACCTATGATCAATGGTGGAAAAAAACAAAAGGCAAGGTGGACAAGGGGAAAAGAAATAGAGACTGCTATCCCCACTACCTGAATGGAAGACGATCCCATCGCAAGGACGAGGCTGGGCGACAGGAGGTGAGAGAGGAATGAAACTTTGGCTCAACCACACAAATGTTCCCAGGGTGTCTGGACCTACCAGAAATCTCTTAGTCCATTTCCCTCTGGGGACAGCACTATGGATAGATATTGTTTGATATCTGTATATGGAGTATTGTTCATTGAGAAAAAAGTTCTGACAGTGGACTACTAAATTCATTAATGTTCATTCAAAAGTTGTTATTAGACACCTAAAATGAGTGAGACCCTTAAAACTGAGAAAAAGTCACTTTTCAGGATCAATATATCAATTATTCAGGACATTAATTAGCTCTTAATACCCACTCAAAGCATTAAAAAAAAATTCCCTTCCCCAGATTTAAAAAACAAAACTACAAACTAGACACAAGATTAGAATACCTGGTTTATTGGGAAAAATTCATAATGAAAACTATAATCGCTTATTCTGAAACTTACAAAATAATAATTTGATATATAAAATGACTTGGTTTTCATTATATAAGTACAAATGATAAAAAAAACATAATTCATCTGATATATCATATATATGCCATTCAGAGAAACATCAATCTCTGAATTCTCCTATTGCATGTTTTATATCAGAGGTTTTAAATGTTTACTAAGGAAGACCAGGTTTTTAAGTATATTTAGGTTTCTGCTTACCGTTACAATCTATCAGAAGCTGTGTCTCTATGATCAGAGCCCAGTTAAACCTGAGATTTTAAAAAATGCAAGCCATTTCTTCTCCTTAGGCTGTTTTAATGGCACTTCTGCGACAGTAATAGCTCCTCTAACACTTTACTACACTACCTAAGCATATCTATCAGTCGTGATGAATTAGGCCTGGTCCATCTTTCAATCCAGTCTACTCTGGTCCTAAACATATAGACACAAAACAGTACAGATGTATTAATACAGCATTTTCCCACACCCTAACCCTATAAGCCACTTTAAAAGAGAAAATTTCATCTTAAAATTTCACTATTTAAGGAGGCCGTACTACTCCAACAGGCTTTGGCCATGAAAGAATATCTTCCTAGATGACATATCAAGTCAATGTGAAGTTTAGCAAAAAATCAATTTTTCAGGATATTAATTCGAAATTCTCACAAACAAGATGCATCTAGGGAACTATTCTGCTTCTTTAAATAGCTGAAGGCTTGGACAAATATATATATATATATTTTTTTTGCATTTCTTTTAGAATGTTTGGTCACTGACAATTTTTACCAATATCTCCCTCATTTGCCTTAGCCCTTAATAGACCCAGTTCATTCCACCTGGGACAAACAAACTTAGATTATTAAGTCTTGGAAGCCTTCTTATTTTTATCTTATAAAGTGGTAGTTTCATGTTCATATTCTTTTACAAATGCAGTATAAATGTTATGGATAGATATAAGAAAATATTGGTATACTTGTATTAGTGGTAATTGGTGAAAACAAGTCTTATTTAACTCCACAAAATGTATATAAAAGATGAACATGAAACTATAACATTATTTAAGAAATATTTTCTCCCAAATTATTTTAGCATTTCTGACTATTGTAATAATATGAACACTGCCCAAAAAATAAGAAGCTTGAGGAAAACAGTTTCCTCCTCTGAAATCCATCTCAGCAGCAGCGATTTTCTCCCGCTCTCACTGCCCACATTAGGCAGATGTGTAGAAGTACCTGGGCTTGGCATTGCCCAGGAGGTCATCTTCATAATTAGGGAGGCAGCAGAAGAAGAAGGCACAGCCAATCAGTATAATCGTGGCCGCCCACCCGAAGCCGTAGGCCCAGTTATAGATGTAAATGACAGCAGGGTTGGCATGAAGACTGAAGGTCTGGGTGTACTTCACAGGGTAAATTACCAGGGAGATGATCTGGAACACGGCTGAAAGGAAGAAAACATCCCAGAGTATGAGGACATGAATGAATGAACACGTTGAAACAACACATTAACTCCCTCTTCCACAAAGTTTCTGCCTTTAAATAATTGTTAAATCCACCTAAAAAGTGCCAAAGGGGCTGGAAGAACCTAGTTAATCGTAGGCCAAAAAAGATGACTGACTACAGTATATAAGAGATACCTGGCACTGATCAGTATTATACATAGGAGGTGACTTCAAAAAGTTTGCAGAAAAACTGAATTAAAAGATAACACAAATCCCTCTATGAATTTTTTGAAGACACCTTTTATATACTGAATATGTGAAATACAAACTGAAAACAGTTAAAGAATCACTGTATGGTATGTGTGTAAGCATTAAATACACTAAAGTATAAAGTGCAAAATTGTGGCACACAATGGAAAGCAGGACAGTAAAGAGGCTACTTTTTCATCTTTGTGTTTCTTGTGCCAAACATATGCTTAATATGTTCAGTGTTAGCAAAAATTATATACAGTATATGTACACACACATGACTCAATATTGTTATTCAATAATATATCATTGGACTATTCGTCCAGTAAGTGAATGACTAAAGGAAACAATGAACCAATGATGCAAATGATCCATGTGGAGAATCAGCAGAGATGCCTGCAGAGGAGGTGGAGTCTGAAGAGTAAATAGACAGAGAGACACGAAGGACGGGGGAAGGGCATTCCAGGCTCGAAAAATATAATAAAAGATGGGAAAGATCACAGTGCTTAGGGGAAATGTAAAGGAAGATGTGGAAAGAAAAATATATGTCAAGAAGATTTCTAAACTCTTTGGTATAAAAGTCACATTATTACAACAATTTTAATCATTGTAATAGCATTGTAAGAAACTTCAAAATAAAAAGAACTTTATTGAATCTACTTTTGTGGTCTTTTTCAATGAACATGCATAATTTTATAATGCTATAATGAGCATGTTATGTTATGTTCTGCAAGTTTTTACTTAGGATTTCATATGTTTACTGCCATATCAAAGGGTATGAATGGATTTTAGCTCTTTAACATTAAGACATACTCTTCACAAGGAAGGGCCAAGTGGTTGTGCTCCCCAGGAATGTATCAGGGAACATATAGTCCTCACCACCATTTTTTCTATCATAATCTTTTCTACTAGCTCCACAAATGTACCCAAAAGTAGTTTTCTTTTTCTTTTTTTTTTTTCTGCTAGAAAAGCTGTAGATGTTTCCACATCTTGATTTGATGCTTCTATTTCTCAACTCAATTAAAATGTTCCTCTTCTCTGGGAATTTTCGAAGAGCAATCTTGGTGTAGATCTTAAATATTTCTCTACTTCTTATATATTTTAAATAGCTAACATACTAGTTGTTTGCCACTTACTGCAAAATATTATGTTAGACACATAAGTAATCCTTCTGTACACTGACCTCCAATTTTCCTAGTAATAAATGCTAAATACTGTTATTCATCAATTTTGGTTCATCATACATGAAGTTCTTATAATGGTCTGGATGAATTTCTACAAAATTTAAATTGTATCAGTGTTTAATTTTTCTGATTTTAACCCAATAATACAAGGGTACTCTAAAAAGTTTGTGGAAAAATAAAATTGAAAGATAATACAAATCTTTCCATGAACTTTTAGAAGTACCCTCATATATGTAAAATTAAAAATAACTTGCTGTGAAATGTGTCTTGAAAGCCAAGTAGGCCTTATTCAACATTACCACTAAAAACATATAGAGATTTCTAGATTTTTATTCTTCTACTGTCATGTCCTATTCTACTTGTCAACCTCTTTATTTCAAGGAGAGGATGAGTATTAAATTACAAAATGAGAACACTGGGTTAGACAGGACCATTCAGCTATAACTCTGTTGAAGCTCACCAGAAATAATTTTCTATAGAACAATAACTTGCTACCCTTTCAGCCTGGATGACCATTACTACATCTTATTGTTTTAATGCTAAGTGGAAGCAATGGATAAGAGAGGTTTACGAGGATATTTTTTTATTGTTGTAAAATATACATAATATTTATCATTTTAACCATTTGTAAGTATATAAATCAGTGGCATTAAATGCATTCACAATGTTGTGTAACCTTCACTACCATCCATACCCAAAACTTTCCTATCATACACACATACACTCTGTATCCATTTTTAAAAAACTCCCCCTTTTCCTCCCAGCCCCTGGTAACCTCTATTTTACTTTCTGTCTCTGTGAATTTGCCTGTTCTAGGCACCTCATATAAATGGAATCATATAATATTTGTCCTTCTGTATCTGGTTTATATCATTTTGCATAATGTTTTCAAGGTTCATCATGTTGTAGCAGATGTCAATATTTCATTCCCTTTTATAGCTGGATAATATTCAATTATATGTATATACCACATTTTGTTTGTACATTCATCTGTTGATAGATAATTTGGCTGTTTTCACCTTTCAGTTGTTATGACTAATGCTGCTATGAACCTGGGTTACAAATATCTGTTCAAATTCCTACTTTTACTTCTTTTAGATATATACCTAGGAGTGGGATTGGGTCATACGGTATTTCCTAGAATTTTTCATTCACATTAATGTCCTAGTGTGTTATTTTTCAGGGTGATTTAAACAGGCATCCATCTAGTCTTCTAAGACACGTGGAAGGAAGACATGCAAATGGATTTCTCTGTAAGGTCTCATACATTAATTATGAAAAGCCAAATAGAAGTGGAGGTAGGATTCAACGAGTTTCTTCATATCTTTCATGATTCCAAGTCATTTCTGATTTTAACATATTATTCAAAAGCAAATTTTGAAACATGAAGAGCATAAAGTATATTTTATTTTTAATCAAGAGAAATTTGAAAATGTGCAGTGAAGAGGACCAATGCTGCCCTAGGCTCTGTGAACTTAAACTTTTCTAAGCTCAGGGAACCCAGCACCAAGTGGTCTTATAAACCATGTTTGATCTTATGGACCCCTGCTAGACACAAGCTTCTGACCTATTTCCAAGACCATCTGCTCACTTTGTATTTGTGCTCCAGATCTGTAGCTGGATTTCTGCTTTGGTCCCACGAGCCTAAGTTGGTACCTTAAGAAATGACCTGTGGCCCGGCTTTGCCCTTATCAGCAGCCTCCCCTTCCCTGCCTCAGAAAATCTGGTTTTGCATCTGAATCCAGCTTTGTAGCTGGTCCTGCCCCCTTTGTCAGGCTTCCCTAGGGCCAGGTACCCCCTACCTAAAATTTCAAATAATTCCTGCTCCTAAATTCCTAGTTCTTGTATTCCATTCATAAATGTTCACCCCGAGCCTTCCCTACCTGCCTAACTAAATTTCTTCCCATCACCTGTGTCTGGATCACCACCACCCAGCGCTGGCTCTATTCTACGGATGAGCAATTCCAGATCTGGGCCCTCCAAGGTCCTCCATCCCGTGGCAGAAAACCCTTTCAAGACCATCACATCATAAGATCACAAACTCATTTGACAAGCAAAATGGTTCAGGGACATTCTGGTCTCCCCTCAGCATGGGGCTCATAGGAGAACACTGCACTTCCAGGGCTGACAAAGTCCTGGTCCCTCAAGAAGAGTTGTCATTGGATGGGACCACCTGGGAGACAGGGACACACAGAGTGACAACCTGCATTACTGGGATGGGGAGCACAGAACACTGTCTGAGGCACAGGAGGAAAGGGATCCAGATCTATTACTTCTGCCCTTTGTGACACATTTTCTGAGGACACATTAGAAACTAATTGTCATGAATCTTCTCTGTGGAAGTGGACCTGACTACACTGATGCCTACTGACGGTATGAATAAAGAATCGCTGACACACAGTTCTTACCAGCCAGAGCAAGGAGGCCTCCAATCACTCTTAGGAAGACAAGCATTTGGGGTCCACAGAGGGCAAAGAAGGAGAGGATGAAACAGATCACCAGGATGATAAAGCCACAGAAAAGCATGGCGGCGGCTGCTCTTCCCCAGGCTGCAAAAAGAAAAGAACCAGCAATTAACAACACAGACCTGCCACACTGAACAACTGCTTATTCAAATATCAATAGGGTTTTGTTTTTTCTTTCTACTAATTCTATTTGGGTGGAGGGACAGTTTTTGTTTGGACAATACTTAAGAATCTCCATATTTCAAGAAAAAAATAGGCAATTCCTATGTAGGATGTTAATATACCGACACACAGAAATGCTTTTCTCCTCTCAGTTTTTGAGCAAAAGTTATATCTCTGAAATGAAAGTTAAACTTCATTCACTGTTTCTCATGGAGCAGATATGCCATATAAACAGGTATATTTACAAGGTTCACCCAAGTTCTAACACAACACAACCCTAATAAACATTTTTGGTACTGAATAAGCCAAAGGATGATTTCTTTAGGAAATGTTTCAAATACCTTTGAAAGGATCTTTGTTTCATACTAATATGTGGTCCCATGCAAAAATAATCATTGGGAATACATACTTATGACTGGGAAGAGATGTTAAATAAAACAATTTAAGTGTTAGTAGCCATGATTTTATAACAAGCTTGGTAGCATACAACCTTTCTAAATTTCTGCCTAAATTTTAATTTATGAAGTATTCAGAATTTATCATGCAAGAGTTCTTAATTATTAATATTGGCCCTAAAAAAGAATCAGCATGAGGCAGAAATTGAGTTCTCCAGCCCTGTGTCATTCTACTGTGTACCTGTGGAAAGACGGAGATCATGACACACACAAGCAGCTCCTATTGTTCAAGCTGCACTGACTCTTAAAAGCTCTTCATGTATAACCTTTGCTCTAGGGATAATAACTAATATTTAGGACATGTGTTAGCTCACTGAATCCTCACAACAACTTCTACTATCATTTTTATTTTAGAAATATGAATATACTTAGGCTTTGAGAATTCAAATAACCTTCCCATAGCTACGTAGCTAGTATGTGATTTAGACAGAGTTTGATTTCTAAATGGTCTGAATCCAAAACGTGACTTTTTTTTTTTGAGATATAATTTACATACCATAGAATTCCCTCCTTTAAAGTGCACCATTCAATGGGTTTGTTTGTTTGTCTTCTAACTACATTCACAGGGTTGTGCAACCATCACCCCTAACAAATTCAGAACATTTTCATCACCCCAAAAAGAAACCCCAGGCCCATTAACAGTCACTCCCTATTCCCTCCTTCCTTCAGCTTCTAGCAGCCACTAATCTACCTTCTGTCACTATAAATTTGCCTATTATGGACATTTCACAGAAATGGAATCATACATTATATGGTCTTTTGTGACTGGCTTCTTTCACAGAGCATAGTATTTTCAAAGTTCATCCATATTACAGCATGAATCAGTCCATTCATTCATTCGTGGAAGAACATGCGCTCATACCCTATCACTCTATCGCATGTGAAAAGGTGAGTCCCATGTCCCTCTGCCCTGGTTTAACTCCTACTCTCTAACACAGCACGGCTGACAAGATGTACTTATCCCCACTTAATTCTAGGTCATTTGACTGGTCACAGTAAAACAAAAGATACGGGCTAGCAGAAAGAGCAAGGGCTTTGGAGCCAGCTGGACCTTTATACCCTGCCTCTGCCACCCCTTAGTCACATGCCAGCCTCATCTGTTAACCAGGGCTAAAAATGCCTGTTGCAAGATTATGGCGAGGATGAGCCCTCCTGTGCGGGAAGTCTCAGCTGTTAACTCCCCAGCCCTCGCTGCTCACAAAGTTCCTCCCGTATCCCATGACTTTCCTCCAGTACCTCAAGTTTTCATTTTATTCTACATTAGTAAGGTTCGCACCATCAGGTAAAGATTGCTCCTCAGTCATCCAATTCATCTTCCTATCTTCATCTGTTACAGACAAACCTGAGCTAAGTTCTCCTGTTCCCTTCTCCAGTTCCCAGGCTCCCTCCAGTCGTCCTCTAGATTCATGAATGACTGGGGCATAATAGATTACTAAAGAGAAGAAATATTTCTGTCTCTGAAATACCATGTTTTCATACAAATTACCCCTTACTAGCACTGGTCAGGATGGGGCTGAGACGGTACATGATTTGGAGACCCAGTTTCATATTGACAGTTTTTATTACTTTCCTTTACATCTCCTTGCTCGTCTTGTCAGAACAATGAAAGTTTTTAGGCATAAGGTTAAAATAGGAATGTTTTATTGTAAAAGGAATAAAGCCAAAGTGTGAAATTTCATGTCTCTGCTCACTTTTGCCTTGTCCTTCAAGTAAGGTAACTTTTAAGAGAAGAGGGACCATGCTTTGGAAAGAATATTAATTAATCAGACCTTCTCAGAGTATAGCTCATAGACCACAACATCAAAATAAGCAGTGGTGTTTATTAAAAATACAGATCCCTGCGCCTCCCCCCAGACCTACTGAATCAGAGCTCGAGAGGTAGTAGCCAGGGATCTGCACTGTAGTAGTATTTCTTATATCCATACTAAAGTTTGAGAATAACAAAGATAGATTATCAAATTCTTTATAAAATAGATGCCTCACTACCAAAAAAGGAGCACTTAACTTTCAGTATGTGACCCACTGTCAATTACAGTCTCACTTCATAGATTTCTTTTTTAATTGAGCTACCAGGGACTTGAATATAGAATTTTTATGGCTACTGCCAATCATTAAGTTCAATTAAATCCAATCATTAAATTCAAATAAGCAAAAACTTATTTTTCCTTTTATGATTTCACAACTTTGAAACTATGAAATTAAAGGCAACATATCTAAATATGCACGCAGAGGAGTGCAAACGTGATGAAAATAAACAGCAGAGCAGAACGTGTTTTCAATAAAAACAGGAAAATCTTCCTAACAAGAAACATATTTCAATAACCAAACTTTCAATCGCAGACTAAAAAGTCTAGCTAAATAATGATGACTTGAAAGTCTAGCTAAATAATGTATGTATGATGTTGCTGTAAAGAAGAATATTAATAATTTATCTGTTTATTTGAAGAAAATTCACACAAATATTAGTTCTATTACAACTTCCTGGAACATAATAGCTGAAGTATAATTTATGCTTAGTTTCAGGTACTTGGAAGGAACTAAATTTTTTTAAAAAGGTAAACCAATTCACCTAACCTAAAGCCAACAGGTGAACATAAAGACAGACCATTTTAAGGACTTTCCCTACACTACGTTAAATCAATTCAGTTAATGTCTTGTTTATTTAAAATGCTGAGTCTAAAGAAAATCAAAATGGAAAATTAAGCAACAGTTTGTCTTGAGAAAGCTACCTTGGAAGTAGAACGTGTAAAACTTGCTCCTTATAGTATGGAAACACCCACACTGAATCATTTATCATTTGAGACAGAAATCTTGGCATGGCTTTAAAGATTCTGACTGATGGGATCTGCCTTCTCATGTCAATGGCTATTTTGTTTTAAGATGATGAGATGGACCATACTAGGTTGGAGCAGGGTTCTCCCAGCCCAGAATTCTGTCTGAGAAGGGGGAAATCAGTCATGCAGACTTACAACACAGCTACACTCCAAGACATACATTTTGAAAAATTAGTACCTTTGGTTTCAGTTACCCAGAATGACCTAACTTTTTGGAAACTATATTCTTATATTAAACCATGGTCTAAATTATATCATATTTACCCACCCCCAATGGAAAACATCAATTTTTAGAACTTGCCCTAAAGCTACATCTTTCATTATTCAACTATTCCTCAAAGTCTGTCCATCTTTATCTATTCTGAACACAAGTTTGTCCTTCATTACTATTTCATACACCAGATTCTAATGCCTTTCCCAGCTGTGTGTGTGTCTGTGTGTGTGTGTGTGTGTGTGTGATGTGTATAGAAGGTGCTCATTGCCAACTGTCATTGTCTGAATTGAGACCACAAAAACATGCAGTACTCCAGGTAAATAGATACTGTGTTTCTGGGTAGGAACTGTTTTGTTTCCTTAATACAAAACCAATGTGGTGTTTTATTTAATGTATTGTGTCCCAAGTTTATTTTCTAAGTAATAACTTGGAGAAGTTCATGTTATCAAAGAAACCAGCAGCATTATAAATCCATTTCTAAATACGATTCATTGATGATCCATTTAGATGAACAATGGCTTATCAAGCTCTGCTTCTCAAAGATTCGATATTAAATCAAGAATATGAAAATCATTCAATGGTCACTAATGAAACTAAGTTTTTCCTAGAAAGTATTTTTAAGTTTTTTGTATGAGATAGCGTGTTATTTTTTTCCCCAGAAATTACATATGAAAACACAATGTTATAAGGCAAATATGGCTAGGAAATTGACCAGTGAGGCCAACCAATAAGAAAAGAGCAAAACAAGTAAAAACAAATAAATACCTTGAATGTCAAACTAGAAATGATAAACTGAAGCTTGTGTAAAGAAAAAATAAATAAATTTTTATTTTAAGACAAGGAGAGCATTCTGAATATTTTTGATATTGTTGGTAATATTTTGGAGACTATTGCTAATGTTTCCCACAAAATTCGTACTTCTTTTGGTGAGTTTGTGCATTCTTCAACAGTTTTACACGTGGGCACCAAACAGACCAAAACAGTCTGTGACCTACCCCTTACTCAGTCCCTGAAGACACCAACGTGTCATCCAACTAGAGTATGGGTCCTTTCTAGAACAAAGGATTCATTTATTAACAATACCAAAGTTCCCACCTAGCGAATCTGAGATTTTGTTAGATTTCTTCACACTGTTTCTATGAGGTTCTTTATGCCATACAAAATCAGAACTGAAAACTAGATAAAACCACAGTTTAAAAAATAAAAAAGATCCTACCTACAAATAAATATAAGCATGGGTGGATGACATATTCAAAACGACTGTTTTGCATGTTCAATAAGGTGGTAATCTGCAGTAATTTGGCCAGTGCTTCTGAAACTTAAAAGTGCTTACAAATCACCTGGGGAACCTGTTAAAATGAGGATTCCAATTAAGTAGGTGGGGCCTGAGACACTAATGTCCAATAACTTCCCAGATAATGCTGAGGCTGTGGCTGCTGCTGGTCTGTGACACTTTAAGTAGCAAAAATCCAGAGGACAGCTCATAGCAGGCCTCCAAAAAAAAATCTACCCAGGAAGAAGCTATTCTGCAGAAGTGCTGGAAGGCAGTAAAGAAATGGCTCAACAGAGGAAAGGCAGGGAGGACCACAAGGCAGAGCACTCCACAGTTGGTGTGAGATTCTTCACATGCTTTACATTTTCTCCTGAACCCAGGCCAGATAACTACTTACCACTGTGTCTTCTACAGAACTATGATACTCTGCCCCTTCGTGGTCTTTTTTTTAAAGGACTGATCTAATCAATGAGTAGGGAAACCATCCTACACAGGAGGAGGTGAAAACAGGAAATTTTACCCTGAAGACAAGATAACTAGCAGCAAATTTGGGCTCTACCCTCAAATATATGAAAATCTGACAGATGGAAGGAGAAGGCTGGAAAGGAAGAATGACTGGGAAGCACATTTCAGCTCAGTCAGTATAAGCGAAGCACTTTTAACATACAGTATCATCCAGGGAACAGAATTAAGCTGCCCAGTAGGGGGAAGAAACTCGGTTGTGGGTGCTGTTGATGGGCGCCAGCGTTGGTGAGAGCTTGTACTAGGTGCACTTTAATTCCTTTCTAACAGTCTGAGAGTCTGTGTCCACTTACAGTTCATTTATAAGTTAGGTCAATCAAAAGGGACTGAGGCTCTCTGGGCTGGTTACTGCTGAGTGCAGCAAATGTGGAATGGACTGAATCATTGGTTCTTAGACCTTTAGATTTAATAAATCAATTTTTAAAAAATTATTAAATCAATAGAGTGGCCAACTTTGTATTTGGTTATGTCAGAATGTGCTCACATGCTCATGCAAAGAATCTATCTAGTAATGCCTAATTTCATAAAACAAGAACAGTTTACCTCACCCCATGCCCCCAATAAAGCTACACAAGCATAATCTCAAAATGAAGTTCTTTAGTAGAATTTAGCCTGATGTAAACTAACGACTTCATACTTATTTTTCTTTCTTTTTCTTCTTTTGTCTTTTTTGTGACTAGTAAGGGGATCTCAACCCTTGGCTTGGTGTCGCCCGCACCGCACTCAGCCAGTGAGCGCACTGGCCATCCCCATATAGGATCTGAACCCGCGGCGGGAGCGCCGCTGTGCTCCCAGTGCCGCACTCTCCCGAGTGCGCCACGGGGTCGGCCCCATACTTATTTTTCTCAAGGTTAAATGACCTATGTGAAAATATTTTATATAATACTCTGATTCTATGCCATGTCCAGGAGTGATTTCATGTAAAAACATCTGATACATTCTGTGGTATTCAAAGGGTGTCTTTGGTAAAAATGAGGCACTGGCAAACACTTGTCGCATTTTTGTTCTGGTACATAAACGCATCTCCATAATTCTCCACCCTAACTGAAGACTGCCTTGGATCTGAAATCCTACGTGGCTGAGGCTTAAAATATCCTCCTGACATATTCTTGTTTAAAACTGGAAAAGAAGGTGCCAGCAGTGCAAAAATAGGTATGCATGAACATGCATTCAAATTTAATTTCACATTTTATTTATTTAGATGAAATTTGAATGATCATTCAATCATAAATCTAGGTTTTCTTTTCCTGTTTTGGCAAATATAAACCATGATATTTTAAAAAACTTCAAGCAAGTATCATCTGTTAAGCTAGTTCCTAATTTAGCTGTTACCATCATGTCAAAGGAAATATTCGAGGAATAATCTGGCTCATTTATGAGGAAAAAGGAGGTGATTTGGCCATCTGAAGCTCTTTTAAAACTCTAATAATGGTGAAGAATAGAATATTCTTTTTGCATAGTTCTAAGGAACTTTCTACCTTTTTTAAAAAGTAATTATTATCAATACTTGCCAGGAATGACCTGAGTCTTCATTACCAAAATGAACATATGAATGTTATGCATATCAATTAGTAAAAGAGATGGTCAAATACTTTGTAATAAAAAGGTCTATTTTCTTAATAGTTAAAATGATAAATGAAAATATTTATTTCCTAGTACACAAGAAGTTTTTTTAAAAAATGAATGTACACATTCAATTCCCTATATTGAGGTATCATTTTAATCAGAGCTATCAACCTTACTTCTTGTTACTGTGTGTTCGTATATCTCAGGGAGAGTGGGTAAACTGCTTACTGCATTTTAGACAAAGTACAACCTCATGTAAACATACTGTTTTCGGCAAGGCCTTACTGAGGCTATATGAAAACCTCAGAGTTCAAAGATGCCTAGACAATCACCCAACAGCATAGGAATGCACCATTTCTACACTGGGGAGGCAAAACTAGTCAACATTCAGTCCCTGCAAGAAATGGGACGGAAGCATAACAAACACTTAAACTCATCTTTGACTACAATGGTGGGAGGTGGACCTCCCCTGTTGGCTTCATATCTACTGTCTTCTTCCCATGACCACCTCACGACAGCAGATCTTGAATTCATGATATGATTTTAGGTTGAGCAAGAGCTGTGTCTGTGTCTAATGCATTGCTGGCACTTTATTATCTTTGCAAAGGTACCAGTAATAACTAAATTGAGATATTAAAACCACCACACATTTATGAAAATCAGTCATACTGCATCATAAAGGCAGTAATAGATTTTTCAAGATTCACTTGGAAAACCAAGCGAAATCCAATTTCTCCCAAAGACCAATTTCTACATCAAACTGAAACATAAACTATACACGGGATCAGTGTTTTCTTTACAGTGAGAAAAGTTAATGTTTTAGACTTCTAATTAAAAAAATTAGACTAAGAAACAAAAGCTGCTTACTCCCTTCCACATACAAAACCCTATCTCAATATGAGGTTGGAGCAGCCACACCCGAAGAAGGTGAGCTCATCCTGCAAGTCAAGAAAAATAAAAACGGCATTGTATGTGTTTCACAAGAGGGCTGTGGTCACAGTCAGAGCCTTGCAGGCCAAATCTTGTCCCAGCAATAGCACTGATCATGGTTCTGCCAGTACCCACCTCCCAATGAAGGCGTATTAATTAACCTTCTTCTTACATGGAAAATTACTGAGTATTCTTTGGGTCTGTTTTAGTTTTTAGAGTAGGGTATAATGATCAAAGTCTGTTTAAAAACACACAAACAGACCTATTAAGTCCCCTACAAGAGACTAAGTTCGAATGCATTTTAACTAGGAAATAGTTATATTATTTCAAAGAAATTAATTCCCCTTAAAAACTTAAAAGACTTGGGATAATACAAACTTTGCCAGGCATAGGTTTTGTGTTTTCAGAAAAGAAAAACACAAACTTTAAGGAAAGCAGGAATTCCCTTTTGGGGGAAAGTTCACTGTGGGAACTTCCAAATGATTCCACAACAGATAGATAAGATACAGCACCAAGATGCTGATATAGGGCCCCAGAACCATAAATAAACAGGATCTGGTTGGAAGCCCTGGGCCACTTCAGGGAAAGAATCAAGTCTATGGTAATAGCAGGGAACGAAAAAAGGCAGAGTGGCTTTCTTTCTGTTTAAGACTATTAAAATCAGTAAAACCCCATTCGGCTTTAAGCTTTTGATTATGCCCACATTTTCCCCACCACCCCACCCCCACATAAACATTGCTAGTCGCAACAGACCCCAGCTGTTACTCATATCTACCCATAAGCAAGGGGGGCATCCCACTGTGAAAGAATCTTTTCAGGTGAGAACTACTCTCCAGCCCTGTCTATTCACAAGGCAAGCACGAGGCTTCCTCCCTTCTGGAAAAGAGGATACTCTTATCTGCCATGTATTACATTTGTCAATTCTCCTTCCCTTCGCTAGTGTAGAGGATGTGTTTGCTTTTTTAGATTTCAAGTGAGATTAAAATAAATACGTTTCCTAAACGGTAACGCGATGCTTAAGCCAAAGGGACACTCCCTAACACAAGAACTAACAAGAACCAGCCCGACGGGTTAAATACTGAAGTAGTTACTGAAATCATAACTGCTAAATCTTGGCCTGAAAAGACTTAGCAGTTATGATAAAAGGGCTTTTCTTAATGGAAAACGTATCGTTCACTTAGATCAAGTTAAACGAATCCCCGACATTAGGGAAGACACGTTATTTTACTACTTATATTTTAATCATAAGAACTGAAGGAAGAAGGGGAATGGGAAATTTCAGTAGGTCTCCGTGAAAATGTACTTCATTCATTGTATTTACTCATCTAAACTTTTGCAATGGCTGAAATCGTCCTTTGCATGTAACCGATAAAACCTATGGGGGAAAAAAAAAAAACGAGTAGTTGTAACGAGGGCCATTTTCTTCCTGCTTTGATCCTGGTTTTGGACCACCCCAAACTGCAACTGCTTAATTTGGTTCAGGTCCGATGCCGGAGCCTGAGTCTTTTTTTTTTTTTTTTTTTTTTTTTTTTACGCAGCCATCACCCCTGACCCTGTCAGGACCTCTTCTGCGCGGCGCCTGCCGCAGGCTGCAGCCCCGAGGGCTTCCTGGAGGCGGCGGCGCGCGGGCGGCCACTTACCGAAGTCCATGAGGCTCCTGCAGCCCTCTTCTTCGGAGCCGCTGCCGCCGGTCTCGCTGAAGCATCTCCACCACAGCGAGGACGTCTGAATGTGGTTGCTCGACTGCAGCCAGCCGCGGCCGGCCAGCGCGATGATGTCGAAGGCGATGGCGCAGAGCAGGAGCAGGGGCAGGATCCACCTGCAGCGCTCGCAGGCCAGGCCGCAGCGCAGCATGTCGACGGTCGCGGAGCGGAGGAGCGCGCGGGGCACGGGCTGCGGCGGCGAGAGTGGCCGGGGGAGCGAGGACGTCCAGACAAAAGGGACGGGGCCGCGGGGAGGCGGAGCCGGGGAGGACGCGGCTCGGGGCCGGGTGCGGGGCGCGGCGCGCGGGCCCCACCTCCATGCGGGTGACTCAGAGCGCGCCCGCCCCGACCTGCCCGGCTGAGCCCTGGCGCGCGCGGCACGGGCGGGGTGGCTGGTAAACAAGGCCGGGCTCGGGTTACACCGGGGTGGCCGGGGGAGCGAGGACGTCCGGACAAAAGGGACGGGGCCGCGGGGAGGCGGAGCCGGGGAGGACGCGGCTCGGGGCCGGGTGCGGGGCGCGGCGCGCGGGCCCCACCTCCATGCGGGTGACTCAGAGCGCGCCCGCCCCGACCTGCCCGGCTGAGCCCTGGCGCGCGCGGCACGGGCGGGGTGGCTGGTAAACAAGGCCGGGCTCGGGTTACACCGGGGGGCGGGAGCTCCACCCTGCCTGGGCGACCGCAGGGGGCGGGCAAGAGGGCCCTGCGTTTCCCCGTAGGCTCCTCTCCTTCTTACCCGGTACCCTCCCAGCACAAGTTTTCCTTCTAGTTGCTTCAACGTATGCACGTGTCTATGTGCATAACACCAGCTAAATAACCCCTGATGGCGGATAATGGTGTGATTTTCAACAATGCCATATTTGAGTCTCAGGCAGTTCGAGATGGGCGTTCACACTGTACCTGTGCATAAATGCCGCACTCGTTTGGACTCGTGCACCCAAACCCAGAAGGCCGGCCCTGACCCCCCCGGGAAGAGGTGGTCACTTCCTCCTGGGTTCCACCTTTGCACCTTGGACTGCTGTTCCTTAGTGTTCTTAACTGTTTGCAGGCCTGACTGTCCCGCTGGATTGTGAGCTCTGACTGCGGAGGCCGTGCCTTATTTATTTGTGTGTCCCTGGGTCAAAAGGGAGCTCAGAGAATTTGATGAAAGAACACCCTCAATCGGGCCGGCCCGTGGCTCACTCGGTAGAATGCGGTGCTGATAACACCAAGGCCCCGGGTTCGGATCCCATATAGGGATGGCCGGTTTGCTCACTGGCTGAGCATGGTGCTGACACCAAGTCAAGGGTTAAGATCCCCTTACCGGTCATCTTAAAAAAAAAAAAAAAGAAAGAAAGAAAGAACACCCTCAATCAACGAAGGCTGGCTGCAGTCTTGGAAGCGCTTAGTCTGGCTTCTTCAGGTTACTGCATGTCGCCTCTGCTGCATGCAGTCCACTCCCTATCAGAAATATCTATTTAAACCCCACTTTATCTACTCTTCATTTACTATTGTGAAGTTTCTTCGAATAAAAATCATTAGGTCAGCATGCAACCAGCATCTAAAAACCCACCCCTCAATGTCCTGGCCAGCTTCCCTTACTACCGTGACTCTCCGGGTGTGGCAGGGAGGGTGGGGCGGCAACCAGGAGTGGCGCCAGGAGAAATAAGGTCTCAGTGTCAGGCACCACGGTGGCCTTGGGCAAATCGCTAAAACATCCAATAAGGATCACATCTTACCCTATAGCTCGGGAGATATCTTCTGAATCCCTTACATTTTCCATTAATTAGAAGTGGGAAGTACATAACGATGTTTAAAATTTAGTTCTCTGTATTTCAATTTGATATTCTCAATAGAAATAGAATACTATTTTGTCTTATGCAATTATCTGGCAATTTTTGAAGATGAATAAAATAAAAGTAGTAAGAAAGTTAATGTCTGAAACCAGATGAAATCATTAACCCCAGATTTCGTTTTACATAAACCAAGTTTGCATATTTCTATTACAGGCAAATATTTTCCCTTTCAAAGAACAGCACAAGGGGATATTCTGCACAAGTTAACTGCATACGGTGTAGATTATGTGGAGAAAATTGTGAAATGTCCTTAGGGTTTTCAAAAGTAATAAAAATATATGTTTAATTAGCTATGTATAATGTATTTTAGAAGAAAAAACATTCTTACAAATCAAATAGAGTACTGATCATAATAAGCAAAGTGGTTTCAGAAAAAAATGAGTTTCACTGGCGTCTTAACTGAATAATTTTGGACTAGATATAACTTATTTTTCTTATTCCAATGAATCCATTTCCAGTGGATTTGAGGAAAAAAGTTCATTAATGCTGGGGCGAATGCAAAAAAAGTAGGTCTTCAGAATTTCTGGAAGAGACCACGCTGACCCTTGTTGGGGCCCAACAATAATGATTCAGACTGTGGAACCAGATAGTTCGAATTCAGGTACTTTCTCATATCAGCTGTGTGACATTGGGCAAGTTACTTAACTTCTTTGTGCCTCAGTTTCCTCATCTATAAAACAGAGACTGCTTACCCCAGTGTGTTGTAGTGAGTATCAAAAGAGCTAATAAACGTAAAGAGTTGGAAGCCCTGACATAAGGGTTGATGATGATGATGATTTTCACATAGGTTTTCCACTTTCCTAAGATTAAAAAGGGGGACTTTTTAATTTTATCAAAGTGTTTACAAGGGGAAAATTCTGTATATGAACCAACAGTAAATGACTCAATTAGCTTAGACAATGCAATCATTTGTCCCACCCATATCCATAAAATGACAGATTGTAGTAAATAGTGGACAGTTGGATAGTTCCCCCTGCTGGATAACGTAGGAATTGTGGGTGCATTTGAAAATGTAAATTTTACCTGAAGAAAAAGTTTATTTTATTTACTTATTTATTTTTCTAAAGTTCTTTTTTTTAAATAACACAAATAGATTTTGGATCTTTTGAATTTTTTTCTGCATCCATTCATATTAGTCTTATTGTTATTCCCAAATATGTTATATATTAAATAAATACATTTTCTAATGTTAAGCTATCTCACACTCCTGAGGAAAGCCCAACTTGGTTATGACGTATTATTATTTACATATTAAGTATCATTTTTAGGATTTTAAAATCCAAATTTGTATAATTTAACTGAAAATTTTTTTGCTCCCCATATTCTACATTGGTTATACTAGACTCATAGAATGATTTAGAATTGTATTCTCTTATTCTCATCTGTTAAAAAGTCTAAATAAGAATGTAATTACCTGTTCTTGAATATAAAACCTGTAAGAACACCTAGGTTTTTATGAATGGGGCAAAGGAACTAAATTTTTAACTATTTTTTAAGGTTGTGAACCTATATCTAGTCAGATTCGTTATTTTTTTTATTGAGTTTTGGTGCAGTGAATCTTTCCTGAAAATTTTCTGTATGTCTAAGATTTCAAATTTATTTTTACAAATTTATTTCAATTTCCTTCCTTCTATTCTCTCTTGAGTTTATTGTAAATTTCTTTTGCTAACTTCCTTTTATTTATTTATTTATTTTTTTAATTGAAACAATTATACATATCTGTGGGGTACAGCATTGAATATCAATACCTGTGTCCAATATGTGATACTTGCAAAAGGATAATTAGGGGCTGGACCCATGGCTCACTCGGGAGAGTGTGGCGCTGGCAGTGCCAAGGCCGCGGGTTCAGATTTTATATAGGGATGGCCGGTGTGCTCGCTGGCCGAGTGTGGTACGGATGGCACCATGCCAAGGGTTGTGATCCCCTTACCAGTCAGAAAAAAAAGAAAAGAAAAAGGATAAATTAGTACGTTCAACATTATACAATGTAATTATTTTTTGTGACCTTTTCCCAATTTTTCACCAATCAACCCCTCTCCCCATTTCCCATGTCTGGAAACCTCAGTTCTGTTCTCTCCTTTTGAAAGTTCAGTGTGTTATTGCAATTGTTATATCATTCTCTCTTTTTAAAATTTTATTATTTTTTTATCTCCCACTTATGAGAACATGCAGTGTTTCTCTTTCTGTGCCTGGCTTATTTCTTACTTAACATAATTTTCTCTAAGTTCATCCATGTTGTGGCAGAATTCCGTTCTTTTTCATGGCACAGTAGTATTCCATTGTGTATAAATGCCACATTTTCCTTATCTAGTTATCCATCAATGGACATTTAAGTTGGTTCTGACTCTTCACTATTGTAAATAGAGCAGCAATAAACGTGAGAGTGCTTGTATCCGTTCAACATAGTGATTTCTATTACTCTGGGTATATACCCAGCAGTAGGATTACTAGATCATATGGTAGTTCTATCTGTAGTTGTTTGAGGAACCTCCACAGTGTTTTCCGTAATGGCTGTACTAATTTACAGTCCCACCAACAGTCTGGAAGGGTTTCCCTTTCTCTGCATCCTTGTCAGCATTTATTATTCTCTGTTGTTTTGATAATAGCCAATCCATCTGGTGTGAGATGATATCTCAATGTGGTTGTGATTTGCATTTCTCTGATGCTTAGTGATGTTGAGGATTTTTTAACATTGTCTGTTGACCATTTGTATATCTTCCTTTGAGAAATGTCTATTCAGCTCCTTAGCTCATTTTTTAATTGTGATACTTGTTTAATTGCTGTTAAGTTGTTTGAGTTCCTTGTATATTCTGAATATTAATTCCTTGTCAGTTGCTTGGTTTGCAGATATTTTCTCCCATTTTATAGCTTGTCTGTTTGCTCCATTAATTGTTTCTTTTGCTATGCAAAAGCATTTTAGTTGATATAATATCATGGTTTATTTTTTTCTTTTAATGCCTGTTCTTTTGGGGTTTTTGCCCAGTCCTACTTCCTGAAGTGTTTCGCCTATGTTTTCTTTTAGGAGTTTTATAGTTTCAGGTCTTATATTTAAGTCTTTAATCGATTTTGAGAGGATTCAGGTATATGATGAGAGGTATGGATCTAGTTTCATTCTTCTACTGATGGATATCCAGTTTTCCCAGCACCAATTACTGAAGAGTCAGTCTTTTCCCCTTTGTATGTTCTTGGTGCCTTTGTTGAAGATAAGTTGGCTGTAAGTATGTGGGTTGATTTCTGGGTTTTCTGTTCTGTTAGTCTAAGTATCTGTTTTTATGCCAGTACCACGTTATTTTGGTTACTATAGCTTTATAGTATAATTTGAGGTCAGGCAGTGTAATGCTTCCAGCTTTTTTTTTTTTTTTTTTGCTTA